AATAGAAACCAATCTTTTCCATTTATTATTGTGAAGAAGAGCTAGGACGAGGTGAAAAAAAGTATAAAGTATAAACTTCAAGGGGCCAGTGCAGTACAGGTTCGAATCCAAAAAGGTTCATATTTTGAGAGAATCCTTTGGTTTGTTTTTTCCGTCGATCTTGTTTTCCGTGCTGAGCACCAATGTTACCGACGCCAGGAAGGCAGCTCCCACACCTGGACCCTACCTATCGACCCATCAACTCATGAACCGGGGACCAACGGCTTTACTTCCCATCCGAAGGAAGGCGTGATCAGAGATGTTATGCCTCAGAACATCCCGGCGGCGCCGACTGGGATTGAACCCAGGCCTGCTGGGGTGAGAGGTAATCACGCTTACCACTACACCACCGGCGCCGTTATTTTGAGAGAATGATCAGGATCTGATTTGGAGTCGATTGAGTTTGGTGGAGCAAAATTGATATTTTGAACCTTAGATGTTAGGCTTAAAGACATGAATCATTGATCAATTTCGCTGTTGCTCCTCAGTGAATCAGAGCACGTATTGCATTTCAGGTAATCGATACAGGTAAACCTTCCATCGAATGAATTCAAACAGGAATTGAATTCTCACAGTCGTGCGATGAATTTTTGATTATAATATTATGTTAATGCACCATTATGCATAAAACTGACCTTTTTCCATCATTCCCTCATCCACGCTATAATTTCACTTCTGAAACAATAATTCCCCACTCTCATAAATGTCTCTCAAACAACCGAAAGCGAAGACACACTGTACGTCATCGTGTTATTCCGCTCGCTCTCACCTTCCAAAACTCACACCCGAAGGGCATTTGATTTGCAGCATTCTACTGCTGTTGCGGTTGCTGCTGAATGGTGACGAGACCCTATTCTGCGAGTCGTGTGACTCTCTGCCACTAGTGAGGTGACTCTCCATTTTATTTCCATGCGGAGTCACCTCACACGACGTTACTTTTGTTACCTCACTAGCGACAGAGAGTCGCATGACTCGCAGAATAGGCCTGACTGTTTCACTGCCAGTCACAAAGATCAAACAATCATTCATCCTATCTTCAACCAACTGATGATGATGGTGATGCGCCAATAGTATGTGGTGAGCCCACACTGTTTTCCTTGCAAGTTCTGCTGATTTCCTCCGAATTTATCCGCTCACCTCTGATTTTCGATCGTTTTCCAACAGACTGAACTGATATCTTGTAGGTGTTTAGTATCAATTCTTAGCCAAACGCCTTGGTGATTCGACATTGTTGGATGTTGAGAGTCGAAAGGTAGCGATGCGCTGGATGAAGGCGCCATCTTCCACACCATTCGGGGGGAAAACAGTAGGTACAGGCGATCCGAGTCAATACTCGGAAAAGTCACACTAAATAGGCTGTCTCATCGGCATAGGCGCTACGATGAGTGCCCGCGTGAGTGCGAGCAATTTTTCTCGATAATCGAGTGAAAGTGAGTGTATAACCCGCGACTTGCGCGTTCTCTCCTATCCCTGTGAGGCTCTCCGAGTTTTCCCATGTATTTATTATTTAATACCAGATCACGGGGTGAAACTTGCCACGAAGAAAGGAAGCATGGTAGCGGGTAAAGGCCAGAGATGTAAAATGCGCCCCAGGGACAAACCGAATCATTGGCACTTCGAATGCCTTTTTGCAAAGCTGCAATGTCAAATCCACGAAGATGGCTGGGAAAGTCACTAAAAACGGTTGCATATTTTACAAATTGAGTGCAATTTACCCCATATTTCCCTACACGGAGATACTGTACTGCGATACGGTCGAACAATCGACTACTGCTGGGATAGAAGGAGAAATATTTGGCCGGCTGCCAGTCGCAGATGTTCAGAGGTATTGCGTTATTTGTGCGACAACTCTCATCACTGTTTGGCATTGGGGGATCGGAAATGAAAACAAAACATCGTTGAAGTGGAGTTTGCTGCTAAATTAATGCTACTAAGCATGCTTGTATAAATTTTAATAAATACCTGATGATAATTGCGCGGTGGTTAGTTACTGCAGCACCTAGCAATCCAGTAGTAGCCAATAACAGCGCAGTTTTAATACATAGAGGGTTTATATCATAATCGAATGCGAAATTTCTTTTGACTAATGGTTTATTCAAAACCACCAAGCTGAGGGCAAGTAAAAAGCATAATATTTAGCACCGTACTCATCTATGCTGTGGTTGACATTCGCTAACCAAATCCAAACAACTAACCATTTCATTCAAGCACTTGAAAATGATGTTTTCTACCACTCAAACTTCGAAATAAAACATTATTTTGAGATTTTGCTTCTAAAACCTCGAGAAAAGTAGCCAAAAGTGGTGCATTTCATACACCCAACCGGGGATTGATCATCGCAAGATGTTAGTGGAGATCAGATGAACGGAGGATGAGATATACCGAGCTGCGGTGTAATGCAAGAAAATTGGAGACCGAAACATGTGGAGTGTATTTTTATTTCCTCTGTTCGGGACCTAACACCAATGCAACCAGTAATTTGATCTATTGTAGTATATCCCGTGTTCTTAGTTTTTTTTTGAAATTCTGAATTTTAATTGGGAGGTAAACATTAATTCACGTAAACTTGTGTTTCATTTCACACAACCGAGCAACTTGTAAACAATGTTGTTTACAATAATGGGCTTTTGTATACAATATTTGCTACACTGCATGGAATGTCTCAAAACTTTACATGATATATAATGTAAACGTATATGATATGTGACGCTCCATTTATGTGCATCATACTTAACAGAAATCTACACTATTTTGTCGAACTGTGTAGGTTCGGGCAACAACAAGCAAATAGAATATCATTTCAATCTACCGAATTCTAAATAAAGTTGAAATTTGGTTTTATTAGAAAAAAATTGAGAATATGAAACATCGAACATTAAAACTTCGATTTTAAATTTTCTCAAAGATACAAATCACTAAACAATATTAAGATTTACGATTTTCAGAACTCTGTAAAGGATGTACAGATTACTGATTTTTAGAAAATATACAGCTTTTTCAAATGAGTGGAAAATATTTCTCTTGTTTTATTATGTTTAGTGATTCTGCTAAATAATCGTTTCTTAATTTTGAGCAGCTTCAATTCACTCTTGGCTTATACCAAAACCGCATTTTAAATAAATTATTATTGCATTACCTATCATCGTTAATTTTGAAAGCACTTTTGATGGTCAGATGTTACGATTTCTGATTTCTTGTTGGAAGGGATATTAGTTTCCCTTTCTTTCGGTGAAAAACCCGTTTTTGCAATCCACAACTGATTGATTACAGATGGTGACTCGAAGAGTAAGCTGAATATTTTGACAATTTAGTAGCGTCATATCTGAAAAAATAACAATGTATGCAATTCGACTGCAACACAATTGATAAAACAGAGTGTACATTGTACAGAACAGATGGAATTATTCCAAAGGTTTTTAACTGTTTTTGGTCTTCAAATTGGCTACACGCTATTTCAAAACTACCCAAATTTGGGTAGAATCCACCCAGATCGGTCAAAACTGAATCCACCCAAAAATGGGTAAACTGTGTTGGGAGTTACAAGTTGACAAATGAAAAAAATCGACATGAATCCGATCGACGTTGTTAATTTGTCAACTTGTCACTCCCAACATAGTTTACCCATTTTTGGGTTGTTTCAGTTTTGACAGATATGGGTGGATTCTACCGAAATTTGGGTAGTTTTGAAATAGCGTGTAGAATGCACGTAAGTATAATGTTTTTTATACACTTAAAATAATAGACACGTTATTGTTACGTGAAAAATCACATGGAGTCTCACTTTTTCTTTTTCAATCAATTTTACGTGGCGCAAGTAAAATCTACAAGATGCTACTTATACATCAAAGGATATTCCATTCGAAGCCACTGATATTATCAATGAAACTTACGTGAAATCCACATACACATATTCTACGTTAGTTTCACGTAAACCTTAAATGTTTTTCACGTCTGAAAAAAACATTGAGTGGCCCACTCATTTTGGAATACAATATGGCGCAAGTACAATTAGAATGTTTACATTTCGTCAAGAACGTCAAATAATTGTGATTGCTATTCTATTGTTCGCATTTTAAATTGCAAGTATAATTGGATTAAGATTTTACATATGAAATTATATATCGTACATCCTTCATAATTTAGTTGAACTGTGGACGGCAGGACTTATAACGCATTGTTCTATGCAGTATGAATACCATATTATATTGTCTTGTTGTTCGTATTCCGGATCGAATTTTATTAAAATATATTTTTCAGATGTGACAAAATAAAAAAATAAAAACGAATAAATAGTGTTTTTATTTTATTTTGTAGTGTTGAGCAAAAATATATTTTATTTGAAACGAATCAAAAACAAAAGCATTGGAAACCGCCATGAATTCCATCCCAAGAATCACGTAATTTCTACGTGTTAATCCAGTGACGATGAAGCGTATTGAAATGAGTTCTTCCATGTGAAGATCACGTAGCTCTTACGTTAAAAGTGTGATGGAAAAAATCTGCGTATGTTTTCACGTAGCATTGACGTGTCACTTATTTTGTGTGTATGATATTGGGTCAGAATTCATATATAAATCGGTTTAAAAAGTTTAGTATAAGCATTTAACGGAAAATGAGAGGTACGTTAAAAAAAAAATACATATACGTGAAGTACATCACATTTCCGAAGAAATCTGGTCGATCCACGAGGTCATTGCCTCTGGCCAAATCGGGTCAAAAGATGGCTTTGTCCTATGCTTGCGGATGAACGGCAATACACGCTTTAAGGCATTCTTCGATGGGGATTATGTGGTATTAATACCCCTCGAATAGAGATGTTAGGCGTATGCTATAAAACCCGAACATAACTCGGCTTCGGGTCCGACTAACATCGCGACGAAACCCACACACGACAAATAACGATGAAGGCGCGTCACGAACAATCCTCGTCCTCTTTCATCTCAGATCCGTCATCACGTGCAGACGCTTGGGTAAGTAACTGACGAGGTCCCAATTGGATTCCGCATCAAATAGCGGAGTTGCACATTGGCGATCCGCCAGGTTATTCCTGGGACTGTTATAAAATGTTAAAACTAAAAAAAAAAAAAAAACTTGAAATGTTGGTTTGTGGCTATGAATGCCGCAAGGTGTGCCTGGAAGACCACCGGAGCTTTGATCAAAAGTATGTCGTACTCAAGAATAAAGTATTGTGCAAATTCTGGTTTGTGGCTGAAAAACGCTGCAAGGTGTGTCTAGAAGACCACCGGAGCTTTGATTAAAAGCATTGCGTGGCACATAGTATTGTGGAAACCTCTGGTTTGTGGCTAGGAACGCCACAAGGTGTGTCTGGAAGGCCACCGGAGAATTGATTGAAAATGTTTCGTAGTCTGGCATGAGACATTATGCATCCAGAAGAGCACCAAAGTATGTAAAGTTTTTTTTTAACTCGCGGGTTGTACTACGTCAGGGATACCATATGAAATATATGAGATATTTATTTGTAGCTAAAACGACTGGAAAAGAGTGTAGATTGAAGATATATTCGTTCCTAAGATTTAAAAAAAAATGGGTTATGTAAGGTTTCTTGCTACTTTCTTCGTTCTAAACAATCTTGTTTTCCACAACTATCCACAGATATTACAACATGTCTAACGGAGGAAAATTTGTGCGGGCACCGATCGCCAATGACGTCTCACATAAAAGCAAGATGAGTGAAAAACTAAGCGACGGAGTTTCGTTTGATTTCGACGATCTTGACGTGGCTGCCCATGAAACAGTGGAAACGAATAATTCAACGTCGGAAGAAACCGATGATGTAACTGGAAGACTGCACCGTTTAGAGAGAATGGTGGAAAACTTCATTGGACAAAAGCCGTCTGAAGTTGATCTGACAGCAAATGAAGCTAACCAGAACGGAAATAACGATTTTCAACCATCTTCCGGTTCCAATCAGACGGATAGAGGATGTAACATCCGTTGGGATCTCATCCCCAAGTTTCCGAAGGACATCCCTTCGAACAAACTATGGGAATGTTGGCAAAGTTTTATTGAAAATTTTGAAATCGCAGCGTCATTGTCCACCGTCACCGCATCGGCGGACCGTGCAAAATTGTTGTACTTGTCGATCGGAAAAAATTTGCAAGACATAATTAACGCGGCAGACCTGCAGCCTAATTATCAAGACCCGAGGTGCTACTCAACACTTGTTGCCGGCGTGAATAACTACTTTAGGTCGATGACCGACACCGCTGCAGAGCACGAGGCGTTCCAGGCTATGCGTCAAACGAAAGGCGAATCCATCGTCACGATCCATGCCAGATTGACTCAAAAGGTACGACTCTGCGGTTACAGCCCCACTGACCAAGTCCGTTTTGTCCTTGCTCAATTGCTTAAAGGCATGCATAACCGGGAGCTTGCAATGGCTGCTAGAACATACGGGCACGAAGCAAACTACATTGTACAAGCAGCCACAAGAGTTGAAGCATATGAAGCAAGCGAGCAAAGTGTGGAGACTAGTACATCCGATGTCCTTGCGGTTAACCGGAAACGGGAACCCATTCGTGAAAGTGGCCCTTTCCAAAAAATGCGAAAAAACGAGGAGAACCGAGCTTACAGTGGAAAGACATCCAGAGGGCCGTCGCAGGATTATCGACAGGGGCAACGAACTCACTGCTGGAGGTGTGGATTCTTGTTTCACAAGAGAGACACATGCCCAGCGTTGGATAAACAGTGCAACACATGCGGACGAGTTGGACACTATGCCGTAACGTGTCGCAGCAAAGTCAAGAAAACCAGCATCAATGATGTACAAGAGAACCCGCGAGCGAACCGACGCAGTAATCTCCCACTAGGATGGACAAAGGATTTCAGCGATGAGCAGGTATAGAACAAATGTAAAACGAAACGTAAAAGATCAATAAAGTCAATCGTCAAAAAAGAAAAAAAAAGAAAACAAAATCTCTTTATCCAATAGTGTTGCAACACATTACACACACTCATACTTAACTATTGAGGAATAATAGTTCACCACTAAAACATCGCTGCGGAATCCAATTGGGACCTCGTCAGTTACTTACCCAAGCGTCTGCACGTCTGCATCAATTTTGATACACTGGAACTAATTTAAATAAGTACGATTACATTAGCAAAAATCACCATCTTAGCACCTCTCCCTTCTACATTTAAAAAGAAGAACACATTCTTTAGCTCAATTTAACTGGCCATGGTTACACTAAAGACTTTCTCCCTTTCCCCATAAGGTGTTACACACCAGAGTAAATAGCTAATATTAATTTACCAAAAAATATGGATAACTCGAATGGGAAAGGGAGAAAGTCTTTAGTGTAACCATGGCCAGTTAAATTGAGCTAAAGAATGTGTTCTTCTTTTTAAATGTAGAAGGGAGAGGTGCTAAGATGGTGATTTTTGCTAATGTAATCGTACTTATTTAAATTAGTTCCAGTGTATCAAAATTGATGAAATTTTGAATTTCAATTCCATTTTTAATGCAGATAACGAATATGTATTTACCTCAATGCCCCTAAACAACCAAATTAAATTAAAAAAGCTTAAAAAGTATGCAAATTTCCGCATCAATTCTAAGTGGAGTCCGAGCCATGATTACTTCGACAGTAGAGCTTTTTGACGGTTAATCGGCGCACACTACTGCACCATTTAAATCGAACGAGATGAAGCAAGAGGGAAACAGATTAGTGGGAAAACAAACCGTCCGTTCATCCATGTGTGCTAGATAGAGAAAGATGATTTAACGTCAAAAAGTTCTGTAGTCATGCATGATTTAATTCGAATTAACCACTTTGTGTTAAAAAAATCTTTTCAGTATTGGGGGCGACCCCGGCGTAGTGGTTAACATCCATACCTCTCACGCCAAAATCACGAGTTCAAATCTCACCCCCGGACAAGTCACGAATGACCCAAGAGTGTTAAAGTGACTATAACAAAAAAAAAAAAAAAAATCAGTATTACATTTTATTCTTTTAGAATATTAATATGGGAAATGGATGTATGAATAAATGCCCCAATTTGGGCCCACACATAAATTAAGCAACGGACTTAATTTTCAATAGCGACCAAAAATATCAATTAGTATAGTCCGAGGGGTTTCTACCAACGTTAACTATCGGTCAGTGCCAGTTAGATTACCGAAAATTACTCGGATTAGGAGTTGCACAGGGATGTCATCGTCGAAGATGTGACGAAAGCTTCCACTTTCAGGCCACAACTGCAAATCGCTTGCCATGACACATTTCGGATCGAAAGACCAGGGTTGGCTTTAATGCACCTCAACACCTTGCTGCGCAGCTGACGATCCCTTATTCCAGATTTTTCGTAGGTTCGCTGATTCCTTTCCACACTCAGGGTTTCCTTGTAGGTTTTGAGCACTCGACAAACTGTTGTTTTCGGCATCTTTGGCACTTTAGCCAGCTCGGAACCGGACCCCTCCGGATTTTCCAGGTGTTTGTGCACAATATGTTTTCTTCTTTCGAGTTCCATTTGACGTTATTTCTGAACGCGATCGACTACTTTGATCAAACTTGCACCAGTTGTTCTCTATATAAGTGTCAGCAAATCACTGTCAAAGATTTTTGATTCCCAACGTTGGAGGCGTGCTTGCGGCGCGCGAGAGGCGTAACAATTTACTTTTAGTCAGCCTTTATCAGAAACATTTGCAATTTTCTTCAGCTTGTGACTATGGCATGACCAGACACTTCCGGGTAACTAACTCAGTAGCATGAGACCCCTGAACTGTGTCACAGGGCCGGCATGTTACTAGGAATTCGGAGGGGCTACGCGGACAAAGTATGAAACACACAGGAATATTCACATTTTCTAACATTTATTTCCCTATTCTGTGGCGTGTGGGTGTGGGTTTTCACAGATATGTTGCGTGTATGCTAGGGTTTAAAATTTGCACTGTACTCACTGCTGCACACGGCTGCTCCTGCACTACCGTGTGGCTGGAAACTTGCTGCGCGGGAATGGCGGATCTAGTGGCGTTCATCAGCCACATACGGCTCAGCAGGCGTTGCTGGCTCATTTGGCTGGCAGGCGTCTTCCGTCGTTGACGGCATCGGCTGACCGTGGCATGGCCACCTTGGTCGAGCCGAGACGGGAACCTCCTTGGAAATTTAGGCCACCGGTCTGAGGGAATCGTCCCTGACGGACAATCGAGGATCATTTACTGTTAGGCTCGGAAGCCATCTTGACTTCCGAGCTGAGCCGTGTAAGACCGTTTTATTTACGGTACGAGGTCCTGAACGGAGGCAGCCCAACATTCCAGAAACCCCACAAGGGGGGGAGGTACACTAAATGGCACTGCACTTAAAAATACCGGTCTTTTGCACACGGACGCCTGTTTGTTTTTGGTCAATCTTCCACTGAAAGATGGCCTCTCTAATCTATCCAATAATTATCATTCTCCCTCTTTTCGCACAACCATTTTTGTGCGAGATGTTGTAAAATAGTTTTTTCCCTTCAGTAACGTTCTTGTTCTATGCAGCGGTACAAACCCTCTCGCTCTTGTGTGTGTCTACTGTTTTAGGTTTAACAAAACGTGAATTTTCCCAACAATAACTCATACAGAAGAAAATCCACGGATTGTAACCAACTGGTTACAAGCTATTAAAATTTTCTCCTCTTCCTAGCACAAATACTTTGCATATTTGTGCAACCAACAGGAAATTTATGTGATGATTTTGCGGGTTTTAGCACAATGCCAGGTAAACATTAATTCGATGAGGGCATACATAGCATAAAGTACTTGCATTCAAAATAGGATGCACCGATACGGCTAAGCTAAAACTATATTCGAATGTAACACAATCCTCTGCATAAACAGATCAAACAACAAATAACTACACATGTAGCGCAAAAACTTCGCCATAGTGATTGTAACGTATACAAAATTGAGGACCAGCAGCCACAACAGCAGCAACATCAGCAATCATTAACTTTCAGGATGGATACGTCGTAGAAGTAACAATAGCGATGATGGAAAGGGTTAAATGTTGACCAAAGCTTGCAGCAGTTCATCCTCATTATTGACGATAAATCATGAAGAGTTAGCGGTGCCGGTGGTGTAGTGGTAATCATGATTGCCCCTCACCCCAGCAAGCCTGGGTTCAATCCCAGTCGGCGCCGCCGGGATGTTCTGAGGCATAATATCTCTGATCACGCCTTCCTTCGGAAGGGAAGTAAAGCCGTTGGTCCCCGGTTCATGAGTTGATGGGTCGATAGGTAGGGTCCAGATGTGGGAGCTGCCTCCCTGGCGTCAGGGAGGATCAAATCAAGGAAACAAAAAAAAAAAGCATGAAGAGTTGTGAGAAACGGCATGGATAACACCACCTCTCACAAACACGTTGCGCAGAGTTCTATCTGTATTCATCTTCAAGGCAGTCCATAACGGGCAGTCCATGGGGTCAGATTTTCGTTAACGGTTCTGGTGGGTTATTGAGCAATGTTTGCCTTAACAAACGCAATAGAAACAAAAATTAAAAATCAAAATAGAATTGACCAAATTTAAAAAAAGAAAGAATAAAATTATGTATTTTAAATGAAGAGATTAGCTTTTTTATTATTACACTGGAACCTCCATTTACGAACCAAAACAGGGGTTCGTAAATCGAATTAGTGCGTAAAAAAAAATCTCGTTATTTGGGATTTACTTCGTAAAAAGAAAACTCGTTATTTGGGATTTACTTCGTAAAAAGAGGTTTTTGAAAATATTGTCAAATACCCCACAATATGGGTATTTTTGGAATCAGGGTGACGTGTATGGACCGGAAATCGATGTCTGACGCCATTTTGAAATCCAAGATGGCGGCTTCCGGTTACAGAAAAACTTTAAAATTCTGTTATATGACACACAATATGGGTATTTTTGGAATCGGAGTGACGTGTAGGGATCGGAAATCGATATCTGACGCCATTTAACAATCCAAGATGGCGGCTTCCGGTTACAGGAAAACATGGAAATTCTGTCAAATACCCCACAATATGGGTATTTTTGGAATCGGAGTGACGTGTAGGGACCGGAAATCGATGTCTGACGCCATTTTGAAATTCAAGATGGCGGCTTCCGGTTACAGGAAAACATGGAAATTCTGTCAAATACCCCACAATATGCGTATTTTTGGATTCGGAGTGACGTGTAGGGACCGGAAATCGATGTCTGACGCCATTTTGAAATTCAAGATGGCGGCTTCCGGAAACAGAAAACATTGTAAATTCTGTCAAATACCCCACAATATGCGTATTTTTGGATTCGGAGTGACGTGGAAGGACCGGAAATCGATGTGTGGCACCATTTTTATATCCAAGATGGTGGCTTCCGGTAACAGAAAAACTTCGAAATTCTGTCAAATACCCCACAATATGGATATTTTTGGAATCGGTGTGACGTGTAGGGACCATAAATCGATGTCTGACGCCATTTTGAAACCCAACATGGCGGCTTCCGGTTACAGGAAAACAGAAAAATACCGTAAAATACACAACAATATGGATATATTTGGAATCGGGGTGACCTGTAAGAACCGATAATCCATGTCTGACGACATTTCGAAATCCAAGATGGTGACATCCGGTTACAGAAACACTGGGAAATACTGTCAAATACTCAACAATATGGGTTGTGTGGAATCGGGGTGACCTATTAGGACTGAAAACCTATGTCTGACGCCATTTTGAAATTCAATATCGCAACTTCCGGTTACATAAAAACATTAAAGTAATATTACATAACCTACAATATGGGTATCTTAAGAATCGGTGTGACGTGGTGGTATTTGCCATTTTTTCTGTAACCGGAAGCCGCCATCTTGGATTTCAAAATGGCGTCAGACATCGATTTCCGGTCCGTAAACGTCACTCCGATTTCAAAAATACCCATATTGTTTGGTATTTGGCAGAATTTCCAAGTTTTATGTAACCGGAAGTTGCCATCTAGGATTTCAAAATGTCGTCAGACATTGATTTCCGGTCCCTACACATCACTCCGATTCCAAAAATACCCATATTGTGGGGGTATTTGGCAGAATTTCCTAGTTTTTCTGTAACCGGAAGTCGCCATCTTGGATTTAAAAATGGCATCAGACATCGATTTTCGGTCCCTTAACGTCACTCCGATTTCAAAAATACCCATATTGTGAGGTATTTGGCAGAATTTCCATGTTTTTATGTAACCGAAAGTTGCATCAAGGATTTCAAAATGGCGTCAGACATTGATTTCTGGTCCCTAAACATCACTCCGATTCCAAAAATACCCATATTGTGGGGGTATTTGGCAGAATTTCCAAGTTTTTCTGTAACCGGAAGTCGCCATCTTGGATTTTAAAATGGCGTCAGACATCGATTTCCGGTCCCTACACGTCACTCCGATTCCAACAATACTCATATTGTGAGGTATTTCACAGTATATCCCAGTTTCCCAAAATCACAAAAAAAACTCGTTATTTGGAATTTACTTCGTAAAAAACAACCTCGTTATTTGGGATTTACTTCGTAAAAAGAGGGACGTAAATTGAATACTGCGTAAAAAAGACTTCGTAAACGGAGGTTTCAGTGTATAGTCATTTTAACACTTTTGACTTGTCCGGAGATGAAATTTTAGCTCGTGACTTTGGCGTGAGAGGTATGGATGCTAACCAATACGCCGGAGTCGCCCCTAAAGAGATTTGCTACTATTTCCATTGGAAAACTCAGTTTTGACAAAAACGCAAATGGGATCGACACTTGCGACAAACGACAGTATAACCACAGACAAGCAGACATAACACTCGCAAATTATTCATCGAACACCCTTTTACCATAGAGGTAACTCTAAGACCCGACCCGAAGAAACGTGCTCAACTTTTGGCTCAGCTCTGGTACTCTCTTCGGTCCCAAGCTAATCGATGCACCCCTCGAAACATAGTAAAATCCACGTACCCCTCATTTTATCTGTCAAACTTTCATAGCGAATCAAAACATACATTGCGCAGTACTAGAATTTCGACTAGAATGGGGTACGTTAATCGATTTGCTTGGGACCAATAGGCTAGTCAAGTAGTGAGCCAATTTAAAATCGTTAGTTTCCATCGGTTGCTTTTACGGTCAATTTAAAAGTATCTTAGTTGGTAGTACCACCACTTGCGGCGCACATAGTCAATTCCTTTGCGTTTGACGTTTACTCACTACCGCCATCTGTGCAGCATACTACCCACCACAGTGTACTCAACAGATGCCGGTCATGTTTTAGCGACGATGTTTTACAGTGAGAAATAATCAATATTGTCTGTTTGGCTGTGGTATTACCCTTCACTTATTTAAATTCCAACTATGGCCTCCAAGAATAAGATCAGACCATTTTCAAATAAGATATTTTTGTGTAATAAATGCATATAATATAAAGAGTACTAAAGTTATTAGAACTTAAAAAATTGTTTATTCTTATTATTCATAATCTTCTTCCTTTTATTAGGAGATTAATACATTAAAAATTAAAAAAAAGCACTTGACATTGAAAAACGTTGAAAAAGGTCAGCAACGTTCATCAAATTATAATCGAGGGGCGCGAATTACTTTTAACAAAAACATAAAAGTCAAATTATGTTCAATAATTACATTTAGTATATTACATGAAAATTTGTCTGACGTGTGATTGTTGTCATCAAACAAAATAATAAACTAAAATACACATTTTAAAATATGAAACATATTTTATTTTGGGTTTCCACTGGTGAAGATAAACCAATACATTATTGGTAGCCTTTCCGGCCACATAGGCTGTCTCATTGCTAAGAATTTTGTTTGCCAGCTAAGCGAAAGAGTGGATCATATTGTCATTATGATATATTTGGAATTTTGCACATACCTGGCCGGTCATAACCTTAGAAACCCCGCCTCGTCCTTCAAATGCGACATCATTTATACATGTTCCCTTATATGATGAATAAAATCTAGAGTATGGAAAAAATAATACTCGAGAACAATATGAAATTCAGGCAACTCCACTGATTGAATAAATATTATGATGAAAGCACATGGAATAAAATAATTTAATATAAAGGCATAATAAATACACAATGAAGAACCAAGCAAAAAAGTGCAAAATTTCATTAAAGCATAGAGAATCGATGGACGTTAGAACATTGCGAGTGAGTACTTTCTTTTTACTTGACTGTCAACATCTTTGTTTTAGCGGCGCCGGTGGCGTAGTGATAAGCGTGATTGCCTCTCACCCCAGCAGGCCTGGGTTCAATCCCAGTCGGCGCCGCTGGGATTTTCTGAGGCATAACTTCTCTTATAAGACAAGACATTGGTTCCCGGTTCATGAGTTGATGGGTCGATAGGTAGGGTCCAGGTGTGTGAGCTGTGCCTCCCTGGCGTCGGTAGCATTGGTGCTCTCCACGGAAAACAAGATCGACGGAAAAAAAATCAAGGGGAAAAAACATCTTTGCGAATCCCACCTGTCCTAAGTTTCTTCCTTACAACAGATGTCCAGCTTCCTTGGAGACCAAATTCGTGGTGTTTTGATATGCTCAGTGAAGAATTGCCTTGGATTAAAACAAAACAAACATATGAAAAACAACCAATTGAAAGCAAAATGCCAATCGAAACAATCCACGGAAATATTCACTCACTGTACCAGGCACTCCTCGGAACACAAAGCAAAACACTCTTCGGTAGCAGTCAACATTCAACCGAGGTGGAGTAAGCTGCGCTGAGGAAGAGTGGAGTCAAACGACCGTGGGAAAATTCAAAACCACCCCGCGGCTTGGCCACCCCCACCCATTCCGTGCCGATCGTTTTCCTCTCAAAATGAGTCAACATAAGCACGCTATTTTCCACTCACTGCGTCGCGTCATCGCTCGCCGTCGTCGTCACTCAGCTGAGTGAGCATCCACAGTGCGGCATTGAGAAGAGAATGAGAGCTGATGGAAAATCAGCAGGTCAGGACGTTGCAGTATTTTGAAAATCAGTTGCAGAATTTTCACCGAACCGCTCGGATGGTTCCGCGTTCTGATGGTCGCACTCGGATGCGCTCTTCCCATTATTATCTGCTGTGCTAAAGGATTCCAAAGAGGATTAGTGCTCACCGGGAATACTTGGATTGTAGAAAATTCGACTCTAGATCAAACGGAACAGCTGTTGAGTCTCCTATTGGGCAGCGTAAATCTGATGTAATTACCTGACTGCAGGCACATAACGGATCTTGACGTGTCAAATTCGCTAGCATTAAAGGAAAACTGTTTTCAATCACGTGCGTTTGTAGGTGTGTGCGTGTGTGTCTATGTGTATCGTCTACTTCGAGAAGGAGACCGTGTCAGCTTCCCACCAGGAAGTGAGGAAGACCGTGTATGGGAAATTTTCTTTGCACGGCGAGGAGAAACGCGAAACGTGACAACCCGTGGTCAACAGAGAGGATGGTGCTACTGGTGATGAAAATTTAATCAAAAGTGCTATAAATATCCCGAAAAGCGAGTTCGTGATTTGTGGTTACAAGCTCTCACGTACGCTGTTCATGCAGTTATAGGTCCCACTTTGCCGCAACCTGTGTTTTGATTTATTCGTTTGCCAATCAAAATATATTTAACGTTAGTGCGGTTGATATCGAATGACGAAAACGGGATAGGTATTTCCTGTTAACGTGTATAATAAAGGTGGTTTGCTGGTTGAATCTCTTGCACATCCGGAGTCACGTAGAGGTCTTCATCGTCCGCATATCCGTTCCAGTTGGATGGGAATGGTGGTGGTAGTGGCTTAGGTTCGACGCCAGTTGGTCCCACAGAGAGTGGTGCTGCATGAATGTATACACAGTTTTTGGCATCTGAAACGATACAGGATTCTCCATACTGCAGATAAAAGTTGGGCATTGGCACGACTACGACGCCGACGACGACGGTCAACAAAAGCCGAGTCAAGTTCAGCTGCGAGCGGGAGTGAGTGAGTGAGTGAGTTAGTGAGTATATAGAGCCGGTCGTCGGTTCGGTGGTGCACGAAAAAGAGCCAAGCCCCGACAAAAACCTTCCAAAGTTTCGGTGTTATGGTTAAAGCAGAGTGTGGTGAAAAATCAATAGAGTGAAACAACAGAAGCCAAAGTTGTCACACAAGTCTCGGATTGCTCTTTGCGGCGGGAGCTGAGCTGCTGTTTCATCACATCAACACAATTCAGATGCGGCAGCATTAGTCGATTCAGTCGGAAAAGTCGATTGAAACTGAAGCAAGAAATTGACGCTAGGGAGGCGCACCGTTCTGCGACAAGCAGTTCAAGGCAAGGCAAGTATTAGCGAGAAAAAATAAGGACAAGGGCAGAAAAGTATTATTGGCGAAAATAATAAAAGCGTGTGCATATGCATCGAACTTTTCTCATTCTTAAATTGAGTCGGATTTCTAAACTTCTTATAGGGTAAAAGAACTAATTTTAAAGCAAATAATACTTGCACAAATTAAAAATTCAGCACTCCGTGTTTTGTTCATAACGGGATTTGATCGCTATCAAACCATTGGATGCAGCCAAATTAGACGGATTTTGATTGTATGAAATATTTTTGGTTCATTTCTGGGCAAATAGGTCGAAAATCAATGCTGGGGAAATTAGTTAGTACACTTACACTACAAATAGAAAAAAAATATGCCGCTCTTTTCATTAGCTGCGAGTGTGCAAAATTTCTGAATAAGAATAAAAAATCTAAAATGCATTTTTTTTTTCGTCGTTCTGGAGACTTATGTCATTTTCGTTTTGCGGTGTTGCACCGGGTGTAGTGTAAGCAGGAATAAGCGCCAGTCTTTGACAGCTCAACATAATTTGCTTGCAAACAAAGGTGCATCCTACACTCAAAAAATTCCACACGTTTGAACGAAGTGTTTAAACACTTGATTTTTTAAATGCACAATCACATTTACTTCAAGTGTATTTCACCTTGGTTCAATGTGTTATTCACGTTAATTTATAGTGTTTCAAATTTTGAAATGTTGAAAATCTTTCACTATCTATTCAAGTGTATTGCACATTGAATCACACTACTGTTCAAAACAGATGGATTTGAAGTGTTTTGCATTTCAATGCGATGTGAATTGCTTACTCAGAAAGCTAAACATCGAAAATAAGAGTTGTGACTTTATCCTATCAACCCGCCTCATATATGAGACCAACCGTGGCACAGTGAGATCGTACGAAGACTCCGGCAGCAGCACACCCCAACAGTCCTTGATCGAATCCCAAATCAGACCCATTAAGAAAATATGTGAAAGCTCTGGCCTCTGGCAGTTTTGTTTATATATTTGTCGATTCATTTTTAGAGTCGGTAAAGTAGAAGTCGATAAAGCAGAATATTGTAGAATATTGAACTACAGTGGTGACCCGATTTTGTCAGCCCCCGATTTTGTCTACCTTCGATTTTGTCCACCCCCGATTTTGTCAGCTTTTTGACCCGATTTTGTCAGCCTATATGATTCAATTAGTTTTGGTTGAGGTGGAGGACTGTTTTGTACAGTCTTATTCGTATTTTATTGATTGTCGAGCTCAATAATGACATTTTTCGAGAATTAAATGTGCAGTGGTGGCAAGGTTAAAGCAGGGGGGAGAGGGGTTGAGAGACTAGTTGAAAATCATGTACGTTATGAGTTTTTTTTTTTTTTTTTTTGCAAGGGGGGAACCTTTAAAAAGGCCATCGTGCCACCGCTTGACGACTGGGCGCACAGTCGCGGTGACATGGTGTGTGGGATTCTTACCGCACTAAAACCTTCTTAGACGCCTTGCCCTTTTCCCCCGGAACCACTTGTCGTATTACTTCGGAGGGGGCCGTGCATTACGCACCTCACTTTACCTCAGCTAAATGGCACTTCCAGTTCGCTGATCGTCTCTCCAATTTGTGAGCCATTTAGCTCCCAGCGTGACGTTCTACTCGGTTATCCCCGGTGGTGTATACAGCCTACTCTGACGGAGAGTTATTCCGGCTTCGGCTTTCAGTTCGCACTTGTGTGAGCATATTACTACTTTCTAGTTGGTCTTCTCGTCATTTTCGCTGCAGCGCTGACATGATCTGCGTTACTGCTCTGCTGACGGCGTTAAAGGTGCCCTCCTCTCGACACATTTCTTCGACGACATATCCTCTCGCACATCATCAAATCTAGGACATTCGAAGACCACGTGCTCTGGTGATTCTTTCACATTCCCACACTCCGGACAGAAGGGTGACGTTGTGTGTCCGATCCGAACCGATGCAGGTACTTCCTGAAGCAGCCATGACCAGACAGGAACTGCGTCAAGTGGAAGTTGACTTCTCCATGCTTCCTGTTCACCCAGGTCGAAAGAGTCGTTATTAGCCTGTGTGTCCATCTACCGATCTCTGCTGCATCCCACTCCTGCTGCCACTTAGCCATCGACTCCGTTCTCACCATTTTTCGTACTCCTCTAGTTTCTCTCGTCATATAGCACTCGTAGTCCTCCACCAAGTGATGCCGATTGGGATCATACCGGCGATAACGCATACTGCCTCCATCGAAATGGTTCTGTACGCACTCACGACTCGCATGGCCATGAGAAGGAACGTACTGCTCAATTTCCTTTGGTTCTGCTTCGTTTTCAGCGCTTCAATCCAGGCTGGACCTTCGTACCTTAGTATCGATGAGGACACACTAGCCAGAAGACGCCTCTTGCTGCTGCTTGGACCAGAATTGTTCGGCATGATTCTGGCTATTTCGTTGATGACCTTCGCCGCCTTCTCGCAAGCATATTCGATGTGGCTATTAAAGTTTAGCCGGTCGTCGATCATCACTCCCAGATACTTTAGCATGCGCTTCGAAACAATGGTGTGCTCTCCATCGGTGATTTCGCCAACACAACGCCTCGGCCGCCAAAATTTCCACTTCTTCCAGCGTCTCACCGGTTACCGTCAAGACGACATCGTCCGCAAAACCAACGATCTCAACTCCTTTGGGCAGCTAGAGCGTCAGCACGTCATTGTACATTTCGTTCCACAGCGTGGGACTTAGAATGGAGCCTTGGGGAACTCCCACTGTGATTCTAAGTGATTTATGCCCCGTGTCTGTCACGTAGACCAGGACCCGGTTCTGGAAGTAACTATTCTATATACTATATACTATAACTATATATAAAATTTCAGCTCCCCCCGCTCCCCTAAATGGGCTCGTATATATTGAATTATTCCTAAAACATAAATCTTGCATTATCAAACAGCATCTAAAGTTATTATGTTAAAAAAATTAGGCGAAAAAAAATGTCCCGATTTTGTCAGTGTCCCGTTTTTGTCAGCCCTAAATTCATCAGGGGGCTGACAAAATCGGGACATTACTGTATTATGTGTTAAGCTATTGATATCACCAAATGAGGCAAATAGAATCCAAGTGTGTCACAATTCAAATCCATAGTGTTCAGGCATGATTCATAGCATAAGATTCACACATGAAATAGATGTGTTTCACAATAAGCGCAAAATTAAGTGTGAGATACATGATGATGACGTGTGGAATTTTTTGAGTGTATACCCGAGCAAAGTCGGTTAACAAAATGAAAGCAAATCGATTGCAGTTCCTATCATAATGAATACTCATTTTGATTACAATTGTCACGACATTAGTCTGATATCATATTGTGCTTTCATTATGCAGTCAAGACATTTTAAATGAAAGCAACTTAACTTGAAGTTCTGCTGTTAACGTCTTGTTTAAAATTTAAGTTAAGCTTATCGGTCGTTGCACTAACGATTATTGTTTAATTGTTTTGTTTAACACATTTTAGGTCATTCGTAACCAATCCGAGGTGACATTTGAGCTCAAGTCTTTCAGCGTGAGAAGCTTGGATGCTAACCATTTACACCAGGACCGTATTCAGTCAAACATTATGAATGCAAAATCAGTAATCAAATTGATTTCATTGAAAGCAGGATTAGTTTTCCGTTTGATTCAACAGTGTAAAATTTTGCTCTAATTTTTGATGTGTTAACCGTTAAGTCAACCAAAATGAGATCAAATGGAGTATTCAAAATAAGTTACATCATAACAGCAAATTCTGATTTCAATTTGATCTCTAACTTTGCTCAGGTATCTACACCCTAAAATATTTCGGTGTACGACAGTGTAGCACCGGTGTAGCTACACCGCAAAAACGAAAACGACATTAGTTTTGTTTGCGAATCTAAGCTTGTCGTTTGCTTGCTGAGATTCAGCGAAGCATTTTCCAAAACTCAGCAATCAAACGTTACTTAAGTTGAGATACCAGATTGCCGAGGTGCTCGGCGGTGCCGGAGCTATCGAGTTTCGGCAAATAATACTATGTATAGGACGACCTAGCTCTAGCTAGACCTAGAGCACATAACATATGTGGAACTCAAAAATCGACCCGATTTCACCGATTTAAAGTGGTATAGAAGGACATCGATCTGTCAAATTGATTATACCAGCTTTAAAATGAGAAAGGGGATCAAGGGGCTTGTCAATTTTGTTTGAATAAATCTACCGTGATTCATAATTATATGTGTTCCTAGCACTCCTGAACTTATGTTTTACTATTTCCTTAACCATTTATATGCTTTATTTAAATTATATAACTAACTTTAACAAATTCATCACCTTGATTCACACAGCAAAATTGTGATAAACTTAGAAGAAACATGTATGTAACATTTCCTTCTTTGGACACTTTATATTTTTTGCAACCAATTGCATCAAACTTTGATTTCATTAGGTTTTGTAGGAGGAGGAACATGACCGCGTAAATTTGTAATTAAATGCTTACATTTTGAAGTACAGAAAGAAGCAGCAAAATTTGGAATAAGAGTCAGAAGTACCATTTGAAAAATATTCAGTGCTTTGAGCTGACTTTGCATCGTTCCATTCGCAAGAATTTTGTAAGCAGAACGATAAATGAAATCGAGTGCTTATCGATACCTGCAATATCCAAGATATCCAAATTATCTGGACCTCCTATCGTAAAATCCCATAAGCAAACATCAGTCTGTGCTTGAAACTTGGTGAACAATTCTTTACTCTTTCACTCCTATGAAAATCCCGTATGATTCTGTCAATCTTTGCGTGAATAAACGGCGGCTTGCTGGAGGAATGAAGAGATAAGACAAAGTCCACTAAATTTCATGCACAGGTTGTCAGATGCTTATGGGATTTTACCAGGAGTAAAGAGTTGCAGAGTCGCCGTCAACGGCAATGCTTACTTTCGTAAGGGCCAATGCTGCAAACGTAAACAATTACTTTTTGTGTGAATTTTTCGAAAATGAAAACTTCTTCAAGAAAACCAACAC